ACAGAGAGAGAGAGAAGAGAGACAATTAATTGTTGTATTATATAGGATTTAAAAAATTTATTTTAACCATACACTCAAAGTTCAGACCCCTAGAGAAAACACGCCAAGAACTTTTTGCTACTCTTGGAATAAAAATCCAAATTCATTTTTTTGACCTGAGGGATTTTGTCCACTGTCAGAGGATGAAATATTTCTCCTCCAACTCAAGCTCAACCCCTCCTCTCTTCTGCACCTTAATAACTTACATTTCTCCAAGACTCTGGTTTGTAAGTGCATTCTCCCTCAGCTTCAACCTCATTTTCTGTGGTGAATTCTTCCTCTGATCTTATAAATGTGTCTTTTTCTGCTGCAGACAAACATAGGAAGTAAAATTAAATCAAATCAACCAAATAGCAAAAGGATGACAATAAGAGGAATAGCAACAATTGAATACCCTATGTCAACTGAGACTATCTCTGAGACTCTGGAAAGGCTTCCGGATCATAGAATGTGCAATGATTTGTGCCTTGCTAGTTTTGGGCTGTTTAATAACTAAGTACCAAACTACTGATACTACCCAGCTGTTCAGAGAAATTATTTTAAAGTGAAATATAGATGAGTAGTTTCCTTGTAGTGGGAAAATATGAGGTAGAGAATGATTTGGTAAAAATAAAGTAAATGGATGTTGAAATATTTTATTTTAAGGGAGTAAAATTTAGTGACTGAAAGGATTTATCTAAAATATTTAGATAAAAGCAATTAAAGTTTTGAAAATGAATTCATAGAAATGAACAGAGATGGATGTATCATCAGGTTGGATTGACCCCAGGGGAGAAAATATGAAATGATTTAGCTTAGAATGAACACCTTGACTTTTCTAAGGGTCTCAAACTTTGTGCAGAAAACCATTCATGTTCACATTTATGAAAAATTTAAGTCTTCCCATGGAGTTTTGCTATCCATGATTCCTTCATAGGCAATTGCTGCCTGGCATGGTTTTGAAGTGACAGAAGTTTGAGCAAAGGACTTGGTAAAACAGAGCAAAGAAACTGCTCTTATGCTTTAGAATTTCCTTTATGCCATAACAATTACTATATTTTTTCTGAATAATTTCAGAGTCATTTGAATATTTTTGATTTTTCAAATTCCAAACAGCTTTTAAAATGTTGTAGTAAGTTCCTAGAGTTAAATCATTAAAATAACTGCACTCAAGATTTTCCTCAAGGTTTTTCTCAGTTTGAACATTTGCACTAATCATGAGGTTTGGCTGATGTTGCAAGTCATCTATTTTAGAGGTTAAATATTGTGTGACATTTACATTCCTTCCACTTCTACACAGTTTGTGAGTTTGGATATGTGAGTTAGACCTGCTTTGTCAGGTAGGCCTCTGGTCCACATCTTCCACCTCACTCAGCTCTCTGTCCTACTCTCGAATCTTATAGACTAACTCTCTACTAAACAATTTCTTTCATCTTTAGGACCTGTTGCTTTTTTCCCTTTTCTACTCATTGGTCGCAACTATTTTTTTTTTTTTTTTTTTTTTGCGAAGAAAATTTTTAGGGACTGAGGTAGGGGGCGGGATTTATTGTTCTGATCTTTAAGGAGATCACATGGTTATTAATGAATTGTTTTATAATTATTTACTGCTTTGTCTTTCTATTTTAAGGATAGAGATTGCATCTTAACTCATATTTATGTTTAACTTAGTTCCTGACATAAGGTAGATATTCAGTAAATTTTGTTGAATTTTGCTGAGTATTGATTACATATCTGTCATCTCTAATTTCAGAGGGGGCGGATAAGGTACCTCTCCTTTTTGGAGCACTATCTATAAGAACAATGCTTCTCTAACTTCAACATTTAGTGTTCTCCATTTAAAAGACTAAAATAAAATAGAGAAAATAAAATGTGTGAATAAGTTATTAAAAATGGGCTGCAAGTGACCAATAAACATATGAGAAGACATTGTGTCTCACTCATGGTCTGAGATGTGCAAGTTACATAGATTTCTTTTTGTCAATTAAACTGGCAGAAATCAAAAAGATTTATATCCAGACTAGTAGTGAGAGTTTGCCCAAATGTGTACTTCCACACATTATTGTTGTGATTGGAAATTATAATGTTATAATTTGGAACAGAAATTATTTTGGAAGAGTAATCATTCAAATAAAAAATTCAAGCTCTTTGAATCATAATCACACTACTGGGAATTAGCCTACAGAAATAAAATTACCATTATGAAAAGATATTTGTATAAGAATGATTACGGCATCATTGTTAGTCATAACTAAAAAGAAAAAAGACAGACAACCTAAATGTTAATTTAAAGAATGGCTAAATACCTATGATACATTCAAATAGGACAACTACAAAAAGTGATTATATGGATCATAATTATTCATATGATAAGAGAAAAATAATCAAGATATAGAAGAACATGTACTTTTATAGTGGAAATAAAACCCTATAATGGAACACATAATAATCCTATTATAATATTTTTAAACTAATAAAAACAAAGCAGATTTTTAAACTAAACCAGCTAAAACCAATGTAACAGCTGGGCTTCTTTGCACGGAAGGGCGCGGCCCCTCCGGACCTCAGCACTGCGCTCAGAGATGGCTCTTCAGAGAGCAGGGAACGCACAGACCTCAGGCAAGAGGCGAACGTGTGGTTTCCTCCGCTCTGGCAACAGCGTAAGAGCCAGGAGGATGGAGTCAGATCCTCAGGGACAGCATCACATCTCTTCTTCCTATTTTCCTTGGTTCTCATTTTTATGGCAAACTGAATCTTACACAAATGATACTAACTTGTATCAGAAGTTGAAGTTTTCATTGGAATTCATTTATGTTCACATACCCTAGTCATTAAAATATTGGACACAATCCTAAAGCTCCAAAAGAAAAACAAATAAACTCTACACAGAAAAGACATATGAGTATCTGAAAAATTTTGTTAACACTGTTTTTTTTTCTCTGAAGGTAAGTCAGGATAGATGTAGAAACTATATTTATATATGGTAACTGAGATGAATTAATGAGTTTGTTACTTAGATAATCTAGAAATACTATTTTACTTTTACTGAAATATTCAGATATGTGAGACAAAAATTTTTTTGATCTGATTTTCCAGGTAATTGCCTTGATTCTGCACTACCCATAGAAGACAATCAGGGTTTTTCTTATTGTAGATAGGTACTTATCCGTATTCTTTTGCTGTAACAATCAGGGCAAGAAGGTGATGCAAGACATCAAAAAACACTGAAAAATATGGTGGATAAGGATTTTTAAAAAATACATAATGCGATTAATTAGATTAACTAATTTTATAGCTTTAGGGGTCTAAATTGGATTAGCTATATTGTGGTGTTACGACAGGAGTTTGGAGTTAGGTGACATTTCTATGCCAAGGCCTCTTTGTCTGAGACTAGTAGCCACAATACTGAGTTTGAAGGGACCTTCTCTGTGTCAGTGAAGTCAAAGAAAGCTCTTCCTTCTGCTTCTGAAGGGGGATATCTGATCAAACTGTTTCAAATTGCTGAATAGACTGGCTTAGCCTACCTGCCTCTAGCAGTATACACTGCAACTATATTTTTCTCACTATGGCAAACGTTTCAACTATTTTTCAGATAATCATGTTTATGTTTAGGGGAAATTGATGCTTTCATAATGGTAAAACCATAGCTGAATTGTCTCTATGGATATCTTTAATTCACCTAAAATCTATTATTCCTTTTAATTATTCAAGAATTCAAATATTTCACTCTGGCCAGGTTGCTCCGTTGGTTGAAGTATTGTCCCTTGCACCAAATGGTTGCAGGTTCAATCCCCAGTCAGGGCATATGCCCCCATGGTGAGTTTGATCCCCCGTCTGGATGCAAACAGGAGGCAACCAGTCAATGTTTCTCACATCGATGTTTCTCTCTCCCCCCAACCCCTCTAAAATCAATAAACATATCCTTGTGTGAAGACTAAAGGAAAAAATTATTCAAATATTTCAATAGTGATGAAAGAACATTTTATCTTCAGAGAGAATATCAATTTACATCTCAGATACTTTGTGTTTCTAAAGAAGAAAAAAATGACATTACAAGAGGTTTTTTTTTCTGTGATATTGGTCATATTTACTTAAATTTTTAAAATAATTTCATTGCCCTTAAACTCTAAATTTTCTTTAAAAATGCCGTTTTCTCCACCTCTATATACATGTTCATTCTTTAATTCAGTTCTAATCTATACCTTATTCAAAACTATGGAGCCTAACATAACTGAAATAAAATCGTGTAGTTTTCTTTATTACTTAGCAATATTTAGTTCTTTAGGCTTTTCCCCCTTCTCCTGGGATTTTGCTATTTACCTGAAGAGTATGAGTCAATATTTATTTTCTTTTCTTGATCAATACTTCAAATACTTTTAAGATTTTAACAAATTGGGAGATGTAAGCTCTATTTTTTCCCTATGTTATACGTACATTATTTTCAGTCTTGTTTCTAATTAAATACATGATAACCTGCAGGCTTACTATTTTAGATCCTACTATTCAGATATTTACTATTTATTTATTTATTTGAATTTGTTTGAAGTAGATGTTACTTTTGTACAATATGTGAAAAAATGAATTTCATAAATATGTAGTATAAATAAGATTTTGTCCACACTAAAAAGAACAAATATTTGAACAACTAAAATCTTGGTATGAAAATAAATGCTGATCACTTTGAATATACAGTATTCCTAGAGATCTATTAAAATCAGTCCAAGCAAACTCTAATATGTACACACCTTATTAACACTTGGTTGAATTACTGAATATACTTGAAAACAAAAGAAATTTATTTATTCAGTTATTCTGAAATTCTCTTTTTAGCATTTCAGGATAAGTAGTATCTTTATCTTATTAGTTTGGAATAATAAATTTCTGTGCATACGTGTTTATTTTTAATGAAGTTCTGCTCAACATGTATATGTAACATTTCATTTAAAAGTTGGTCATCCAGACAATCTCTTTTTTCTCTCTCTCAGGGATAGGTCATCATTAAAAACTATTAATGTAACTGAAACATCGTTAGAGTTTTCAGATTTGGACTACAATGTTGAATATAGTACATATGTAACAGCTAGCACCAGATTTGGTAATGGGAAAACAAGAAGCAATATTATTAATTTTCGAACACCTGAGGGAGGTGAGTTTTTATTCATGTAGGCCAAGCAAAAGAATATCCTACCCAGACAAAATAAATGTTAAATATAAAAATGTATTATTGAGCCAAATATTGGTCATTGGTGGGATGCAAAATCGCTCTTTGGTCGCTTTCTAACTGTGTGATATTAGAAAAGTTAGTTGATCCGTCTGTGCCTCAATTTCCTATGTGTGTTATCAAAGCAATGTAGTATCTACTTAACAAGGTTCTCTGAGGATTAAATAAGTTTATATTTGTAAATGGACTCAGGACAGAACTGGAAACTTAGTAAGCATTTTATGTTTTTGTTAAATGAAACAAAATAAGATGCAGGAAATCACCTCTCTGCCTTTGTCCTCTATTATTTGATTTTAAAATTCTAAGTAAGAATTTTATATTATGTATTCTATATTGAAAACTTATTATAATTTTGTTTTCAAACCCAGGATAATAGGCATCTTTTCAGAGCTAGGATGATGTTTTATTTGTAAGAAATACATCTTTCCTCTGCTTGGATATTGCTATGGTGTTAGAGGGATTGCCCAATGAACCTTACGGATTTCATTTCTGGTTTGTAATTAGATGTTATTCCAATATAAGTATTCAAAAAAACAATTAGCGCTTATCAAAGGCAGGTAAAATTTAGAACAATATTTCAGACGTTATTTAAAGCCGCAAGTTCAGTTTTTTGTTCAATTACTTTTTTTTATAGTACCGAGTGATCCTCCCAAAGATGTTCATTATGCAAATATCAGTTCTTCATCAATAATTCTCTTTTGGACGCCACCTTCAAAACCTAATGGGGTTATACAATATTATTCTGTTTATTACAGAAATACTTCAGGTACTTTTGTGCAGGTAAGATCTGAGTTTTCTCCTAGTTCTTTATTTATATCCTTTAGTTTTGTTGATGATGATATAGATTGAGCTTGGTAGAAAAAATCATTTATCTTACATTAATAATTATGTATAGACATTTTGCAAAACATAGCAAAGTGAGGTGGAGACTGTCAGATACATTTTTATCTCTCTGTTTATCTCTCTATGCATGTGCACACACATGCCCAAATTTCTATAGCAGCTTTGAAGATATTACCAACAATGGAGCTGCCCCTGTGTAAAATTCTAAACCTAAATGCGGCCCTCAATTTCATTCCTCCAAGAAGTGTTCTCTAAAGAGTTGATGATTTCATTTACCCTCAATTATTTCTCAGGAAAAAATGTGATTTTTTGTATATAATGTAAATACTTTTCATGTTTGGATATGTGTGTTTTTCTTCATTCCTATAAAAATGTTTTCAACTGTTAGCAGGAAGTGTTATCACTGTTATTACTATTATTATATCAGGCATAATTAGAACTAAAAATGTGCCTAACTTGAAGTATGCAAGGTACTAAGGTTGCACAGTTTGAAAATAGACACTTTCTGAGATATAAATGATAATAGTTATTAAAATATCTAAAATGCAGTTCATTTAGAGAAATATCTTAATTTTTCAACAGAATTTCTTTATTTCTCTAAACTAAATATTTCACATAATGCTAGAGAGAGAGAGACAGAGAAAGACAGAGAGAGACAGAAAGAGTGTCTGTCCGGAAAGTGTCCAGCCAGCACTATGAAAAATAGAAACATTTATTGAAGAAGATAGAAGATACAAGAAACATTGCCCATAGGGCAACAATGATGCCTCAGTCTCCTTCAAAGTAGGTGCCTTGGAACCTCACACATTCCTTCCAATTGCCATCAGCTGTCCCATCATGTTTTCCTGAAAATCGACGGTCTGAAATCTCTTCCCTTTCAAAGGTGATTTTAGTTTTGGGAACAGCCAGAAGTCACAGGGCTGTAATGGTGCTGAGTGATGTGGGTGATTTGATATTTTGCCAAAAAACCACATAAGATGTGATGCATGAGCAGGAGCATTGTTGTGATGAAGCTGCCAATCACCAGTTGCCCATAGCTGCAGCCTTCTAAATCACCCAGATAGTTTCTGTGGAGGAATGTTCTAGCTTAATGCAAAATTTGATGCAATTTATTGTTCTATGCACTCATTTTAAATGTGATGACCACATGGTACACATGCTCACTCAATGGCATCTGCCACCCCCACTGACTAGTACAGTGAAGTCATCATTGTTCACACATGCGCATTCCAGTCTACTCTTCTTGCCTGCCAGGTTACATCAATGTTGCATGAACTGTTCTCATTATATTAACAATGGCTGGACTTTTCTGGACAGACTATATATATGATAAAATTGGAGTTGTGATTGAAACAGGAATGGGGAAAATTGAACTACAATATTGAAAACAGTAATTTAGAAAAATTCTGCAATTTACTGGTAAAAGCTATTGATTGCTTATTGATTATGACTCTGGTCACTCTTATTTCTTTGTATCTTTTTGAGCAGGAGAATAGAGATAAGTCTTAGTCACTCCAAGCTGCCTGGTTCTCTTTGTGACTGACAACCTGGGTTGAGTTACTTCAATGAGTCCTTGTGAGCAGCAGTCTCTGGGACTAAAGTATGATTTGCTACAATGCATCTGTAGTACAGATTACACTAATGCAGTGGTCCCCAACCTTTCTGGCACCAGGAACCAGTTTCATGGATGACAGTTTTTCCACAGTCTGTAGGGGAAGGGGAGGGGTGACTTTATAACCTGCCACCAGATTGTCACTTGCCACTCACTGATAGGGTTTTGAAATGAGTCTGCAAGCGACTGATTTATTACGGTCTCCATGCAGTCACACCGCTCTGCTGATGATCTGTGTTTGCAGCCGCTTCCCAGCAGTAGCATCGCCACCTCAGCTCCCCTTCAGATCATCAGGCCTTAGATTCTCACAAGCAGTGCACAACCTAGATCCCTCACATGTGCAGTTCACAGAAGGGTTCCCACTCCTATGAGAATCTAATGCCACATTTATCTGACAGGAAGCAGAGTTCAGACAGTAATGCAAGTGATGAGGAGTGACTGTAAATACAGATCAAGCTTTGCTCACTTGCCCACCACTCACCTCCTGCTGCGCTGCCCGGTTCCTAACAGGCCATGGAGTGGTAGAGCTCCACGGCTCCAGGGAGGGGGTGAGGGCTGGGGACCCCTGTGCTAATGAATAGAGGGTCAGAGCAGAACTTTTCAAGCTGTCTCAGGACTACCCCAGCGAGGAAAGAGAGTCCAGAGGTTGGTTCTGGTTTTATGTTCTGTTCAAGACTATTTAAGAGTATAGGCCCTCTAAGAAAGGAGGATTTCCCCCCTAATCTGTACCTCAAGCAATTTCTGCTGTACCTTTTTGTTCTGCTCTATTTGGGGAAGAAAGATGGGAATTAGTATACAATTTATTATTATTGTCGAACTACAGTGTTGTTTATACATTTACAAATGTCATTATGTCATAGAGGTTATTGGAATTGCAGATTTTTCTTCTATCACACATTTAACAAAAGTTTTGCAAAGTGGTGTCAGTAGTTCTGAAGCTGTACTATTTACTTTATGGCTTATACACAATTCTTTTTTGGTTCTCTGTCTAAATAATGTCTAAATAATCAAGTGTAAACATCTGACTCTGGTTTCAACATGATCTTATGAACTACTTATCCAAACCTGGGCATATACTATGATCTCATCTGTAATTTATCTATCTTAGAAAATGTAATTTTTTATTAAATAATCTTAAGAATGTTTTTAAGCATGACCGCTGCAAGAAGACACTGGCTAATGATGTTAAAACATTTTTTATATTGCTTGACGTTCATCTGTACTTTAATTTATTCCTAAGGCTAATGTTAAATCTAGGATCAAAATCTTCACTACCTATTTTCCTATTTTGGATTGGTAGAATAGAAGAAATCCTCAAAATAAAAATTATATAGAAAAATAAGTATATAACTTTTTTTCTTCTCCCTTCTTTTCTTCTCCTTCCCACTGAAATTGCACTGTAGAACATCTCACACAGGGCACACCACATTCTGCTTCCTATTCCTGGTATCTCATACTCGTCTTAGGCTCCCTTGCGCCATAGCAAACAACTTGAAGAAAAGGGTCATGTGACACTTATCTTTCCACGTCCTCTGGTACTGTAGCATACATAGCTTTAATGCTCAATAGATATTTTAATTGAAAGAATACAAGTTATTATAATAGACTAACTTTTTTTTTAGTACTTAGTGATAATTTTGAAGCACTTGACTTTGTCGTGATCATTCCTTCTTGTTCTGGGGAATTTAATCTCTCTACTACTACTTGGCAATCCATCTTGTTCTTCCTTCAATTTCTATGCATTATCTAAGTCTAAACACTTAGACATTTAATTTTTACCCACTTATGTCACATCTCCTCAGTGTGCCTGACATAGTCTTATTATAGTATAATGTGCAAAATAAATACTGGTTGATTAATCAAATTTGAAAAGTTTTTACTAAATACTTTCTGACTGTATTTATATACATAAAAGGGTAAACCTTAATTAAATAATTTGAACCACAAGATGTTTTTTCTAAAAATAGATGAATGAAATAATCTAGATAATTGATCTAATTCTAAATTTGTTACATGTTTGTGCATGTCTATGCACATCTATGCATATTCAGCATGAATGATTTCTGGCTGATTCAAAACAATTTGTTAATTAATTGTTATCAAGATCATAAGTAATCAGAGTAAATTCTATAGCAAAGAAAAATGAGAAGTTACACCAAAAACCTACATGAATATTTTAAGTGATACTTTATATGTTTGTTATTCTATGTGTAAAGTAGATATACTGGAAGATAGTAAAGTTCTCAGATCATATTTTCTGTGAGGTTGTTATATTATTTTAACTTGTCTATTCCTAAATAAGTCACCACAAAATTGAAATAGATCTTTTATTATACTCATCCCCCCCTACCGTATTGGCAAAAGAACCACAAAAACTTGCTGAGTTTAATTTGTTGATACACTGTAGAACCATCCTAACTATAAATTTTGGTCAAATTGATTATTCAATGTTATTAATTTAAATTAATTAATTACTGTTTATTGTTTTTTTCTTACATGCCAGACATGGTTTTAATTTCTTTATGTGCTTCATATCATCTGATCCTCAAAGCTCTCTGTGAAGTAGAAATGATTATTCCCACCTTACAGTTGAGGAAGGAGAAGCTTTGAGATTAGATGATTTTTCCAGAGTTGCCCTGCCAGAATTGAATGCATGTTGATAGAACTCTAAGGGCTTTGTACTGATTGGAATGATGGACATTATTATAAAGATATCCACACTAATCACTAAATGGTTTTTTAAAGGTCTATTTTCCTTTATTTTAAAAATTTATTTTATTTGACTATGTGTTTGGACTAGATGTCAGGCCAGAAAATTATAAAATTTCTCTTACTCTGCATGTAAAAGAGCGCATCTAACTGCCTTCCCATTCTCCCCATGATTGTAGTAAACAAGAGGACTCATTAAAGATGAATAATTATATCCAGTTGAGTTGATAGAATGAGGTGAACACTTCATAATTCCATCATCTTTAATAGGGAGAAAAATTAAATTTGTATGATACTGTCAAGCTTCTTTAAAATAGATAGTTAACATTTTGAAAACCACTTGAATGTTTCATAAGAAAACTAAGAGGGTCAGCACAGTTGCAGCATTTTCAGCTTGGCCATTGGACCTTCTCTGTTGCTTAGGGTTTTTTCTCTTTGCTACTCCACAGGTTGATTTTTGTAATAGAAACTGCTACTGCATATTCCTCTTTTAGTACAAACATATTTTTAGTTTAATTATTGCAATAAATGTTCTGTACTCATTTTCCTCAAAGATTAACATATTAAAATAATGAGGCAAACAATTCATGAATAACTATTTTGAAATGTTCATGTATACTAAAACTATATTCTGAACAATTAAAACAATATGTTTATTTTTCAGAATTTTACACTCCATGAAGTAACCAATGACTTTGACAATATGACCGTATCTGCAATAATAGATAAATTGGCAATATTCAGCTACTATACATTTTGGGTAACAGCAAGTACTTCAGTTGGAAATGGGAATAAAAGCAGTGACATAGTTCAAGTATACACAGATCAAGACAGTATGTAAATGAAAAGTATTTATTAATTTTTAATAGGATTAATTTAAAACTTTATAATTATTTCACAACCTTTTTCTATTTGTATGTATTGGTAGTAAAGTCGACATTTTATTTAGGCACATTTAACTAGTCATTATAGAAGTTTGAAAATGCATTTAATATAGTTATAAAACTATTACAGTAATGACAGCCTTTTCTCTTCATAAAAATTGCTACCACCCATTCATGAAAATTGTGTTGCTCTTATTGCTTCAAAAGATGTCACGGCCATCCAGTCACAGGCGTGAAGAATACTGTTGTACACATGGATGGTTTTTCTAATAGCTAATATGCTTATCCATTTGCTTTGGGCACTGCATTTTTTCCCCTCTAGGAACTTATTTTGTTTCAGTCTTTGAATCCACATAGGACCCTACACAGCATCTTTGTTCTTATTGTACTTGTGACTAATATACCCAGCATATCTTTTTTTAACCCCAGAAGTTTCTTCTATGTGGCTTCTGCAGAATATTGTTTTTGCTGAGTATTCAGAAAACTGTAACAACGGAAACTCTTGATGTTTTTTAGGTTTCAGCTTTGAGAATACAGTGATACATGGATCATTGCCTATTTCTTCTTATGGTTGTTACTTTTGTCCATTTTTAATATTATTTTTTATTAGTTTCAGGTGGACAGCATACTGGTTAGATGATCATATACTTTTCAGAGTCCCCCTCAATATTTCCAGTACCCATCAGGCACTATACACAGTGATTACAATATGATTGACTATATTCCTTATGCTGTACTTTACATCCCTGTGATGAATTCAGAACTACCAATCATACTTCCTAATCCCTTTACCTTTTTCACCCAGTCCCACAACCCCACCTTGTCTGTTTATTTTTTTAAAGACTAGTCTTTCATTGAGAAACAGTATTGACTTATACTTTTGCTGAGAGTAAAATTCCATATATATTCTCTGAAGATTGTCAACTGACAGACACTATAAATAGGAGTGAATGCTTTCCTTTTTGTCTGGAACAATCTTTTAAATAGCTCACAAGTTGACCAACAGAATGAGATATGATAAAAATATATGGAAATGTGTATATACAGAGTCTTTAACAAAAGTGTTGGAATGCAATATGTGATCAATATAATTTCAGGTATTCTTTAAATGCAGGTGTCTCTCAAGATTTTTACCAGCCTATAACTTTTTATCAGTTATTATTATAGGACCATGAGTAATAAACACATTCCGTGCACTGTTCTAGGTAAGTGGTCCTAGGTGACCATAATATTTTAGAGACAGAAGCTAAAAATATTTTATAGGTAATATACATTATTACAATATTTAAATATATAATATATGTCCACACACGTATGTATACATCCAAATCATAATCTCCATGTTGTAAGAAAGAAAAGCCAAGAGAATATTATGGATAACAATTCTCATGCATATTAGGTGTGTGAGATGACATTGTTTATCTTGAATGATTTTTCATATTTTAGAAGATATTTTACATTAGGCGATGTTTACTGTATCTGTATTTAAATAATTTAAGAACTAATGTTGTAATAGATGCCATATCAACAATTATCCTCATTTTGTGAATGTACTTAGATTTATTTAGGGTGACTGATAATTTTTATATTTTGCACATTACCTATCATAGTACCTGAAGGGCCTGTTGGAAACCTGACTTATGAGTCCATTTCGTCAACTGCCATAAATGTAAGCTGGGGCCCACCTTCTCAACCAAACGGTGTAGTCTTCTACTATGTTTCTCTGAGCTTACAGCAGACTCCTCGCCACGTAAGACCACCTCTAGTTACATATGAGACGAGCATGTATTTTGATAATCTGGAAAAATACACTGATTATATATTAAAAATCACTCCATCAACAGAAAAGGGATTCTCTGATATCTATACTGCCCAGCTACACATCAAAACTGAAGAAGATGGTAGGCTGGATCCTTTTATTGCTTATTAAGCAAATTGTTGGTGTTTTTTTAAAATTTATGTTGCTTTCTGATAGAAAACATTATTCTTATAATTATGTAGATTATTTGTTCTCAAGTAACTAGCTTTCCAATAAGCACAATAAGTTCTGTTTCTTAAAATTAAAATAATTATATGCTAATAAAATGAAGCCCCATTTTTATTAAAGCCTCTTTTTAATGCTAATTCACTTTTGTTTCATTTAATATTCTTTCTTTCTTTTATAGTCCCAGAAACTTCACCAATAATCAACACTTTTAAAAACCTTTCCTCTACCTCAGTTCTCTTATCATGGGATCCCCCAGTAAAACCAAATGGTGCAATAATAAGTTATGATTTAACTTTACAAGGACCAAATGAAAATTATTCTTTCAGTACTTCTGATAACTATATAATATTGGAAGAGCTTTCACCATTTACATTATATAGCATTTTTGCTGCTGCAAGAACTGTAAAAGGACTCGGTCCTTCCAGTATTCTTTTCTTTTACACAGATGAGTCAGGTAAGCCGGAATTCATATTTCTTCAAATGATTCACTGTTGCAGCACGTGTTCTCTCTTTGGAAAGGAAACACATGGAAAATAGAAGGATATCTGATTGTCTATTTGTAACAGGATTACAACTAGTCATCTACTTTGCTTAACTTTTTTTTTTTTTTTTAATTTGAGCTTCAGAACTAAGTGTTCTGTTTAAAGCTACTTTGGAACTACTGTTCCAGGACAAAAAAAAAAACATAATTATTTATGCTATTTATTTCAGAAATCAAAATATGATCATTTATGAATCTTTCTTAACTAGAGTCTTCAGGAAGCTACAGTCACAATGATATTTTCATGTTAAAAATTATGAATATAAGTTTTATAATGTGTTTTCCTACAGTGCCTTTAGCACCTCCTCAAAATTTGACTTTAATCAACTACACTTCAGACTCTGTGTGGCTGAAATGGCGCCCGAGTCCTGTCCCAGGCGGTATTGTTAAAGTATATAGTTTTAAAATTCATGAACATGAAACTGATACTATATTTTATAAGGTAGGTTGACTATGACAGTATATTTTTATTTCAAAAATTCACAGATTGAATTAAAACTTTTGACCTGCAGGGGGAAAATGGACTGCTTTAAATTAGACAAGGGCCATCTTTTAAGAAACCTTTTTTGTTTCCTGCAATTTAAGGATGCTTACGGAAAACACAGAAAACATTTGCCAGATGTGGAAGCTGAAGAGTTCGTAGAGTGATTTACTTAGCATTTCTAACCTCTACATGTCTGTATTTTAAGAAATAATTGCACAATTCTGTGAATGCTGGAAAGTATATAGTAAAATTTTTTAGACCAAAACCTATTATCTTAAATATAATATATTTCTATTTGTTGTTAAAAGGAGTACCAAGTTGGTGGTTTCAAACTTTTCAGGAGTGTATTTTTACTGGACTTCTGGTAATCTTCCCAGAGAACATATGATCCCACACTAATTGGTATTTTAAGATATATCATTATCTTTTACTCTTAATAGGTAGTTTGCAACACTAAACACCCTTTCCCTCCTCCATTTTTTAGGTTTCAGAATTAGTGAAAAAATACTGAAAGAACCGAAGTAACAAAGGGCCTCAAATATACTTCTAAGATTTCTAACATTTAATTGCCAAAATATGTTATACTACATAGCATTTATTTAAACAAGTATTCCTACTTTTTTCCAAAGGCAAATTGAAGCACTGGGAATGCTTTTAATTATAGCAAGAAGAGTAAAAACATCTGCAATAAACATTGTTTCCAATAATAGCTTTGGGAACATTTCAATTTATTACTGGTGGTAAATCACTTTTATAGCATATGTAGCTTGCAAAGTGAATAGTAAAAATCAAGGGCTGTGATTAAGATTATGCCATAAGAAACAATAACTTTCTTTCTGGAAATCTAGGTATTACTTCAAAATCTGAAAGGCTGAGTAGAATTTGAATTATATTTATTACTTCATAAACATGGAATCTCCTTCCTAAAAGTGTGAAATTATATTAATGACACCAAGTTTCTAGCCCTCTAAAAACTATCTCTGGTCTAATCATAACATGTTCCCACTTTTTACGTGCTTTGTCTGTATGGGTCACTGGAAACAGATATCAAAAAGGGAAAAGGAATCAGTTTCTTCGTGTCATCACATTCATAGGATAGTTGTGGCTGTGCATTGGAGCATGGATGTCTATGTGTGATCTTTTCTCCTCAGAACAGTGATCTCTAGCATTTGACACAATTGGCATAGTGGTAAATCAAGAGCTTTGGCATCAAATTACCTCATTCAAGCCCTGTCTTTAAGATTTACTGTGCTGCATTAGACAAGCTGCTCAATTTCTTATGACTCAGTTTCTTCAAGTTTACGTAAAATGGGAGTTATAAAGATGCATACCTTAACAAGATAAGCTTATAAGGGAAAATCTATTAAAAGCCTTTAGAACAATTCCTGGCATGTGAGAAATGTATTAGTTACTGTTGTTATGATACATAGTAATAAAAAGAACAAAAAAATCCATCCGGCAATGCAATAGCACTAAGCATAAATAACATTATGCCGTTACATGAATATGAAAATATTGTATTCTAAGATTTTTAAACATTCTGTTTTTCTCAATAGAAATACTACCATTAATATTCCACTAGTAGCACAAACATAATCTTTATACTATGAAGTATTGAGTATGTCACTTTTGGAGTGGAGAATATAGTTTTTCTTCAAAATATACTACTTTTAGTTACTCTTGGTACAGCTATTTTCTCTTCCATCAATTTTCATAACTTTGTTTTCTTTCAAATTCATTTCAATGTACTCATGTGCCATCCTCTTTCTTTCTTAACATCTAGTTTACCTTATCTAGTTCCCTCCCTCTGTGTCGTTTTCTTTACAAGTGTATTTTCCTCTATTCTTTTCTATGTTTTCATCTACCACTATCCAACAACAGTGTCAGTATCTATTATTTTTAAATGTTTATTCCTTCACATTTTACGTGGGTTTATGAGGGCAGAATAATTCCAGGGCCTAATGTTTCTGCCATCCCAGTCAATCCAGCGTGGTTCACATGGAGCTCAATAAGATCCAGTTTGGGGTAACTCAGGTCACTCGTGCATACTTAAACTGTTTATTCAGTAAAAAGTTATTAACATGTGTTTAGCCATACTCGTCATTTATGTCTCCTTCTTCCTACTCTACTTGTGTCAATCTGTTTACTATCCACTCATGCTTTCGTTGTAATCTCTCGAGTTCCGACGCTTCTCTGGGTACCAGCCTTTTCTAACCAAAATCATAATTCACCTGCATTGTGTTTGTTTTCTTCTTATAAGCAATTGTTCATAGATTTCTTTAATAAATATTAAAATTTCTTTATGACGTGGATCGTGTCTTATATATCTTTAAATATCTGGTTATCTAACAGTATGCTTTGTAAATAGGAAGTGTGAAAAACTGAAAGGGAATAGTGTAATACAGTGAGTTCCTAGTATATGTCAAGGACTTGGAAGAGGTTAATTTAAAATGTGATTCTAACTGTAAGTACCCCAAGAGTTAGTAATCTTAATTTCTTCTACTGTAATGTTTAATAAATAAGTCAATGTGTTTATATTTTTGGGTCAGATACAATGCAATATCCTCAAAATTACACCACGAAGGAGGCTGTTTTCTCTTTACATAACGATTGATGTTAATGGCTCTCTTGGTTAGGATAATTATCTTTGAATGAAGACTTCATTCTTAATTGCAAAATTTCTGTGAGAAAACATATTCTTCCTTTGGCAACTGTGCTGTTTTCTTCCTTTTTCTTTTTTCTAAGATTGTGTCAAACAGGAAATTTAGGAGCTGTCTGGGAAAACTCATAGGTTAAGCTCCACAGGAGCAGAGATTTTGTTTTTATCCACTGCTGAATTTCCAGTGCTTAGCATATAGTAGGTAATGAATAAATTTATTTACACAAAATGTCACTGAGTATTTAAAATGAATTTAGACAAATTCAAGAAAAGTCAAGTATCACTCACCACATATGGGCTGGATCCAAATTGGAGACTTTAATTTTGGAAAATTTAAAGAAAGTAATTACTCTATAATTCTAAGTAAGAATCTGGGAGGCAAAATGAAAGCAAAATAATCAAGTTTAAAAAAAAATGGCAATAATAAGACTTTCATGGCTGAAAGAATGCCCAGTTCATCCTTGTGTCATCAGCTGAGCATACCGCGTGCCACCAAAAATATTTAATATTTTTTAATTGAAAATACCCATACTTATCAGATCACAGGTTAAATATAGAAGACATAACTTTGTTGTGTTAAAATACGTCTTCCATTTACCAATAAATCTTTGATGGTGCGTTGTGACTAAGAGTTTTTTTTCTGCTTTTCAGAATATTTCAGGCTTTCAAACTGAGGCCCAGCTTGTTGGGCTGGAACCTGTCAGCACGTACTCTGTCAGCATATCTGCCTTCACCAAAGTGGGAAATGGCGACCAATTTAGTAATGTACTCGAATTCACAACCCGAGAATCAGGTGAGACACAGTGTTTTGAACATAAATCCTTCCCTTTCTCAGTTTCTGTGATGAAGAATTATTTAGTAGTTCATACAAAGGGAAGTTGAATTTCAATGCTTTAAAGCCACAGTGGGTTTCATTTACCGTCATGTATGAGTTCCTATGTATATATTCACACATTTTTTTTCCCCTTTTGAACTGAGGAACGAAATAGGCTCTAGATATCTGTGAAAATTACTTAATTCTTAGGACCACAGGATTTTATGTCCTGAATGGTTAAATAAAAGAAAATTTTCAACTTTAAATGTTAGAATATCAGCTTGTTAGTTAATTGCTTTTAGCTTTCTAGAGTCAGTGAAATAGATGTTCACAAAATTTAGTTTTGTAAACTAACCATAAACAAGTTGTCAGTTGTCTCTTGTTAACTTATTTTTTGAAAATATTGTATATTTTTGAAAATAAGGAGGCAAATAATTAAAGATGATTAATTGCCAGAGACCTGGAGAAGCCATGAAATTGTGTTTTCTTCAGTTTTAAATTCTCCTCATCGGACGATGGGACGTGGTGGGGGATTGACCGCGGGAGTCGGGGGAGGGTGGGCAGGGAGAGCGATGGGAAAAGGCGGGACCGCTGTAGCTGAACAACAATAAAGAAAAGTTCCACTCATCCTGTAAGTACGCCCTTTTAGTTCTGATGCCTTTATCTTCTGGAGGAGGTAGTGTTTGTGAAGATATAAATTTAGGTCAGGGGAGAGAACTGTAGGCAAGTCAAAATTTACTCAAGTATTCTTTCAATAACTATGTTTTCCATAATGACAGCAAATTAGTTCCTTTCACCACTTGTTTGCAATCCACAGATTGACTTTATGGTAATTTTCCTTGTAACATACTCTTTTTTACCATAATAGGGATAGCTATGCTAACATTAGGGGCCATTAGATAATTTGATATTTCCATGGGAAGTAAGCGGTCTCTCCACTCTTCAGTCACTTTGGTAGGCTGGGGTACTTACTGCTCTTTAACTAGGTCTACCAGATATAGTGCACCTCTGAGAAACTGGTCAACTCCAAGTGAATTTAGGGAACGTCTAGGAAACACTGAAATTGAATTGAAATTTGAGACTGATTTAAATCTTTCCTCCAATGATTTTTTTAAAAAGGACTAAGGAGTTAGGTCTTCATGATTCTTCTATCTAAATGTAAAAGCAAACCCCCTAAGCTGGTTACATGCTTGCTAGTTCTGTTAGGCCCAGGTGTGCCAGGTCAGGGGAAGCACCTACATCTTTGTTTTGCACATAATGTTTCCATAGTAACTTATTGCTAAGACTACAACTTTCTGATTAAGAGAGCAGGTTTTAATCACTGTCTGAACTTGAAGACATACAGTTGTCTCTGAGGATTTGAGGTTGTGATTGCTGCTTTGGCCTAAGAAAATATTAAGTGAATGGTTTAAGTGAATATTAAGTGAATGATAAATATGATAGCAAACAAAATAGGCCAACTGCCCTTTGATTCAGCCTTTATAAAGAGCTTTTTGAGCACAAGTTGGAAGGTTGGAATGTGAAATTTTTATTCTGTGTATCTACTACTAAACATGATTTTATCTAGCAATCACATAATTAAATAATTTATTTACTACACATGTATAAATTTTAACTTTAGGCATTTATCTCTTAAGTTCCAGATGTTGTACAGAACATAGAGTGTGTGGCAACTAGCTGGCAGTCCGCTTTAGTGAAGTGGGACCCACCCAAAAAGGCTAATGGAATAATTGTTCATTATCTGATAACTGCTGAAAGAAATTCTACTAAAGTTCCTCCCCAAGATCACATGTATACTTTCACGAAACTTCTTGCCAATACCTCGTATGTCTTTAAAATAAGAGCTTCAACTTCAGCTGGTGAAGGCGATGAAAGTACTTGCAACATCAGCACTCTACCTGAAACAGGTAATTTACCTGAAAGAAATAGCTAATCTGAAACAGGTAACTAATCTGAAACAGGCGACTATTCATGGATTGTATCATACATTTGTCAAGACCTCGTATAATCTTTGTTGCACATTTATGAAAGAGATATTTAAAAATGTAAGACATACTTTTTTATCACATGTGTTAATAGAGTACCAGGTGTACTGTACATTGACTTCTCTTTGGGAGTTTTAAAGGGGGAAAAAGAGAGAAAATATGCTTTATAATATTTCCACAAATATCTCTCTTTTACTATCCAGACTCCAAACTTACTGAATTATGCTTTGTTATAATTTAAAATAAGGAATTAACATGTAAACTTTTGGATATCTTTTTTTCTTAATTGATTTTATGGAGTTTTAGATGCTTCTTTGAATTCTGTGGCTACAGTGTCAGACTCTCATATATTTCCTTCTCTATATGCCAGCCTTTGTCTTTTATATCATTTGAATAAAAATATCCAAGTCATTAAGTCCTAGTCTACAAAGAACATTCTCATTCTCCCTAAAACTGGTCCATTCTGTGTCATAATCTCCTTCCTCTATGGTCTCCAACATTGAACCTGCTCATATGAATGAAAACCTGCTTCCTTCCTGGTAACATTACTTCCCTGGAGGTCCTTCCTGATGGGGACCGTGGGCATTGGCATAATTAGTTACATCTGGCACATCCAGAGCCTTCACCTTAGAAACATCTTTTAACCCTTCCCTTGTTTGAAATCAGCATCACTCAGTTTTACTTCACTTTTCTACCCTTGAAGCTGTAAACAGCAGAACTTCCAGACATGGGTACCTTCCCCCTGACTTCTGCATCCCGATCAGCTTTCTTTCCTTCTCATCCTTCCAATGCAGTATCTTTTCAGGCTTCATTATTCTCTCTGTTTAGCTGGAATGGACACATTTCAACAACACCTTTCTTGTGATCCTTAGATCTCCAACCATGTAATTGTGACTCATCTTCCAGTAGACTCCCAACTCTAAGATGACTCTACAGTTTGTTTTCACCAAGTCCTGGATGACAAATAGTGCTAGGAAAAAAAAAAACCCTGAAATCGCTCTACCTTGTTCAGCTATATATTTACCTTCTCTAAGTCTCCCAGCTGCTCCACAATCTCCTGTACATCCCTTGTTTATACTCCATCAGTTTTCCATAGGAAAATTCTGACCATAGTCTATTCCCAGTATCATCCAATTTGAAATTATCGCTGATTTTACTAATAATATGAAAGATACTGATTTGCTGTCTTTCAAATTTTAACCGTATCTTTATTTACACCTCCAGATACTCTCTCTCAGTGATGTCATTGTCTTCCTCTTTTCAGGAATCTAGCTGCTCATTTTCGTTTCAATCTCATATCTCTTCTAGAACATCACTTCATAAATTTAATCTACTTTCTTCTGCATTTCACCCTTCATCCCCTCTTGTGCATGCATGCACATCTCTTCTCTCTCTCTCTCTCTCTCTCTCTCCTTTTCACACACATACAGTTAGAAAATTTCAAGTGAGGACCAAGTTTGTTTATCAACCCCAAACATATTCAAAATGGAACTTACATTGCATGAATTCTCCTTTTTTAAAAATTGTTGCTCAAGTACAGCCGTCTCCATTTTATCACCCCCACATCCTCCCCCCACCCCCATTTCTCACCCTGAATCCTTCCCCACTTTGGCTTTGTCCATGGGTCCTTTATACATGTTCTTTGATTCGATGCTCCCCTTCCTTTTCCCATTACTCTCCTCCCTCCTTCCCTCTCGTTACTGTGGTTTCTTTTTTTCTTTCAATGTTGCTGGTTATATTTTCCTTGCTTGTTTGTTTTGTTGATTAGGTTCCACTTATAGGTGAGATCATATGGTATTTGTCTTTCACTGCCTGGCTTATTTTGCTTAGCATAATGCTCTCCAGTTCCATTCATGCCGTTGCTAAGGATAGTAACTCTTTCTTTCATTCTGCTGCAGTGTATTCCATTGTGTAAATGTACCATAATTTTTTGATCCAATCATCTACTGATGGACACTTAGATTGATTCCAACACTTGGCTATTGTAAACCGTGCTGCTCTGAACATAGGGGTGCATAGGTTCTTTTGAATTGGCGTTTCAGGATTCTAAGGTACAGTCCCAGCAGTGGAAACACTGGGTCAAAAGGCAGTTCCATTTTTAGCTTTTTGAGGAAATTCCAAACTGTTTTCCACAGTGGCTGCACCAGTCTGCATTCCCACCAACAATATCCTAGAGTTCCCTTTTCTCCGCAACCTCGCCAGCACTTGTTTGCTGGTTTGTTTCTGATGACCATTCTGACTGGTGTGAAATGGTATCTCACTGTGATTTTAATTTGCATTTCTCTAATGGTTAGTGATGCTAAGCATCCTGTCATATGTCTCTTGACCCTGTGTATGTCCTCCTTGGTGAAGTGTCTGTTCAGGTCCTTTGTCCATTTTCTAATTGGATTGTTTGTCTTCCTGGAGTTGAGTCATATGAGTTCTTTATATATTTTGGAGCTCATACCCTTGTCCGAAGTATCATTGGCAAATATATGTTCCCATAAGGTTGGTTCCCTTTTCATTTTGCTGATGTTTCCTTTAGCCATGCAGAAGCTTTTTATTTTGATGACGTCCCATTTGTTTATTCTTTCCTTTATGTCCCTTGCTCTAGGGGACATATTGGTAAAATATTGCTGTGTGGAATATCTGAGATTTTCCTGCCTATGTTCTCCTTTTCTTTCTTACTTTTTTTATACCTGTTCTTTAGAATCAGTTGGACACCACACCTTATATACTTATGTGATTTATTTTTTCCTTTCTCCTACATGTACTTAGATCTTACCACTTCAGCTGCTGCATGACTCTACAGTTTTCCCCTTCTCCAACTTGACTGCCTCCATTTTGTAACAGACCTCTGTCATTTCTTTTTTTTAGTATATATTATTGATTATGCTATTACAGTTGTACCATTTTTTTCTCCTCTTTATTTCCCTCGATCCTTTATATCCCCTCCCACCAGCATTCTCCCCCCAACCTTAGTTCAGGTCCATGGGTCGTATATATAAGTTCTTTGGCTTCTCCATTTCCTATACTGTTCTTAACCTCCCCTTGTCTATTTTGGACTTACTATTTATGCTTCTTATTCCCTGTGCCCTTTCCCCCATTCTCCCCACTCCCTGTCCCTGCTGATAACCCTACATGTGATCTCCATTTCTGTGATTCTCTTCCTGTTCTAGTTGTTTGCTTAGTTTGTTTTTGTTTTTGTTTTTAGGCTCAGTTGTTGATAGTTGTGAGTTTGTTGTAATTTTACTTAGTTTTGTTCTTTTTTTCTTAGTTTTGTTATTCTTTTTCTCAGATAAGCCCCTTTAACATTTCATATAATAAAGGCTTAGTAATGGTGAACTCCTTCAACTTTTCCTTATCTGGGAAGCATATTATCTGCCCTTCCATTCTAAATGATAGCTTTGTTGTAGAGTAATCTTGGATGTAGGTCCTTCTCTTTCATGACTTTGAATGCTTTTTTCCAGCCCCTTTCTTGCCTGTAAGGTTTCTTTTGAGAAATTAGCTGATAGTCTTATGAGCACTCCTTTGTAGGTAACTATCTTCTTTTCTCTTGCTGCTTTCAAGATTCTCTCTGCATCTTTAACCTTAGGTAATGTAATTATGACTTACCTTTGTGTATGCTTCCCTGGGTCCAACTTCTTTGGGACTCTCTGAGCTTCTTGAATCTCCTGGAAGACTATTTCCTTAGCCAGATTGGGGAAGTTCTCCTTAATTATTTTTCAAATATGTTTTCAATTTCTTGCTCTTCTTCTTCTCCTTCTGGCACCCCTATGATTTGGATGATGGAACGTTTAAAGTTGTCCCAGAGGTTCCGAAGCCTCTCCTCATTTTTTTGGATTCTTCCTTCTTCTTTCTGTTCAGGTTGAATGTCTATTTCTTCCTTTGGCTCCAAGTCATTGATTTGAGTCCCAGTTTCCTTGCCTTTACTGTTTGTTCCCTGTATATTTTTCTTTATTTCACTTTGCATAGCCTTCACTTTCTCCTCTATTTTGTGACCATACTCAGCCATTTCTGTGTGCATCTTGATTACTAGTGTTTTGAACTGTGCACCTGATAGGTTGGCTCTCTCTTTGTTGCTTAGTTGTTTTTTTGTAGTTTTCATCTGTTCTTTCATTTGGGCCATATTTCTTTGTCTCGGTGCATCTGTTATGTTGTAAGGAGAAGTGCCTTAGGTATTCACCAGGGTGAGGCAACCCACATGGCTGTGTTGTGGTACAGTGTGTGGGGGAGGGGTCAGAGAGGGAACAATGCTACTTGTATAGCTCTCATCTGGCTTTCAGTCCTTTTCCCCACTACCCACAGGCAAATTGGGCCCCCCCAGGTACTGATTCTCGCGTGGGTGGGTGTGTGTACATTCTGGGACCCTGTGGGTCTCTCCAATAAACTGTCCTGTGAGGCTGAGAGTTTCTCCTGCCGCTGCTAACCCCACAGGTTTTTACCTCCAGAGGTTCTGAGGCTTTCTTTTACTGCACTGGAACCCAGGGTTGTGCGGTCTGTCTTGCTCCCCAGTTGTTCCTCCTGGTTTATCCGCATGCAAATGCGGGACTGCCTGATTCTCCAGCTACCTTGCGATGTGTCCTCTCTGCCCTGGCTGCCTGTCTCCTCCTCTCCTGCCAGTCTGGATGAATGTTTCTTCTTTAACTCCTTGGTTGTCGGACCTCCATACAGTTAGATTTTCTGGCAGTTCTGGTTGTTTTTTGTTTTTAAATTTGTTGTTGTCCTTCTTTTGATTGCGTGAGGAGCCAAAGAATATCTACCTACACCTCCATCTTGGCCAGAAGTTCTGCTTCTTGTAATAATACCCAAAAATATCCTTATCACCCATAACTCATCCAAAGCGCCTGTCAGTCTCATCTTCCTACCCACTTACTTTGATTAAATTGGCTCCAGTATATAATACAGAGCACTTCCATGTTGGCAGTTGAAGTTAATTATCT